CGGGCTAAAATGAATTCTAATATACATAATATATATATTATAATAATTAAGGGGTTTGGAGCATTTCACATTCCCTGATCAGATCATCCTCTTTCAGCGTTGAGCAGCGCAAGCATTATCTGGGCTGACAACCGACCATAAAGGTGGGAGACCGTCCTAAAATGGACTCCCACCACCGATGTTTGACTCTTTTTTTTGAACATATTCTGGAATTTGTCCGATTTTTCTGGTATCACGGTAGCAGTTATTAAACTTTAAGATGTATTAAAGTTTAAATTGTATTAAAGTTTATTATGCCCGCTCCTTTGCCTGTTTCAATAGCTGACTTAAGACTTTAGGCTGCAAATAAATGTTCGATTAGAGACAAATTTGTACCGAGAGCGGTAGGGGTGATGTGGTGGTAGAGGGTAGTTAGTTGGTAGTACTTGGTAAGCGGTAATTTGGGGCGGTGTGGTTAAAATCGCATCCAGATTGGGTAGTAAAGATATAAAAAGGTAGATTAATACTTGTAGTGTGGCTACGAAGAGTCAACATAGAGCAAATGACACAAAGATTGTAAACGTAAACGGCGCAGACGAGCATCATCTCGGTGGGTTTGCGGGGCCGTGATGGGAAATGACTCCCCCAGGGGAATTAAGGCACAGCTTAGAGGTTCAAAAGGAATTCCCTTCGCCCACGGGCCCCGCTCCTGGCGCCGGGATGCAATCTTCAGCATCTACTGACGGCCGTCCTTTCATTCCTTGTCAGGGCTGGTGTCCTGGAGACGGACCATGGACCTGCCTTGGCGTAGACCCAAAGACGCGATGGGGTAGGTTCTTTCGGAAGCAGCATCTCACCGTCAAGCCACGTCCACATTTCCATCATAAGCAAAGTTCCCCAAGTGCCACCAGGTGACATTCGGTGGCATCATCCCAGGCAACTTCACAAATTTCAGCAAGCAGACTTCTGGTGTCACCTTCTCTTGAGGTTTCAGCTTGAATGCAGTGTTGGGTCTGAAGGCAACTCAAAGCCGAGGAAACATTCCCTATTCCTGACAAAGCCAGGATGCTGCTGGCCGCCTTGGCCACCTGGGCACACTGCTGACCAACACCCCCCGCTCCTTTTCTGCCGGGCAGCTTTCCAGCCACTCTTCATAAATTGGATGTTCTCATTAACGGACAGCGTTTGGGGTCAACCACGGTCCCGTTCCCAACTTACGCAACGATGATTGTAAGGGAATACGAAGATTGCACAGTGAGGTAGTCATTGCGTCTAGCTTGACCGGGACTTTGATGTCAACACCATCAAGCACTTCCATGCCAGCCCCCAAAAAGGGGGGATCCCCACATGGGCGGAAGTTGAGCTGAGGTGGGACATCACTACGGAGCCAGGCCGGCCATCTCTTGTCAGTGGTAAACGAGAAGGTGAGTCCAGTCTGGATGTGTTTATTAATACTGCTCACTCAACTCTTTTTAAGGACCAGTTGGGATCCAAAAGTAGTTGTTGAGTATGATTTTTTCCAAACCACATAGGGACCTACTTCAGTAAAAATGGGGGATGAAGTCAAGGGTGAGTTGAGAAGGATAGTTAGAGGGTTGGTTATGATGAGTTTGGGAGGAGACAGACTTGGAGATGAGGGAATAATATTAAATTTAAAAGCGAGAGCCATCAGAGCCTTAGTCCAAAGGCACTCAGTGTCAACAGGGTGAGAAATAAGGGTCACACCACAAAAAGAGTGACATAGGAACCCCGTGTCACCACTAATTCACTAATACTGGGCTCAAATTGATATCCGGGTGTGCAAAGACTTACACAACCATGGTTAGCAGGTAGGACATGGGACACATCTTCTTTGGGTGAGTAACTTGGACCAGCTGATGGACTCAGGGCATCTCAAATTCTTTTATTGTTGAGCTGTGGAAGCACCATCTGGACTCGTTAATTGATCATCACATCCCGCCTCCGCTCCCGCTCTGTGACGGGTCTTTCCTTTCTGCACGTGGTGCTCAGACACGTCGCACAAAGCAACGCCAGCCCTGGTCCTCCTGTGAATCTCCTGGTGCCTTGTACAGTGGGAGGCTTGGCGGAAGGTTTTTTTGCAGATGGGGCAGGTATAGGGTTTTTCTCCCGTGTGGATTCGTTGGTGGGTGACGAGGAGAAAATTAGAGTGGAAATTTTTCCCGCAGTCGGAGCATCTGTAAGGTCTCCCCTCGGTATGGAACCGCTGGTGCTTCAGGAGAGCTGCGATGGCACCAAAACATTCCCCACAACTGGGACACTTATAGGGTTTCTCGTCGGTGTGGCTCCTCCGGTGTCTTCGAAGGGTCGAGCCATCGTTGTAGCACTTCTCACAGTCGGGGCACTTGAAGGGTCTCTCCCCTGTATGGATTCGCTGGTGTTTCAGTAAGGTTGCGCTGTGGCTGAAGGTCTTCTCACACTTGGAGCATCTATAGGGTCGCTCTCCGGTGTGGGTAGCCCGGTGAAGGACCAGAGCTGACTTTGCATGGAAGCTCTTACTACAGTAGGGGCATTTATAACGTCCCTCCCCTGGGTGGGCTCCCTGAGATGTCCTCTGCTGCTTTTCCATGTGGATCTTCCTGTGTTTGATGAGTCCAGAGTTGTCTGTGTAGCTTTGCCCGCAGTCCATACATTTGTACGGTCTCTCCCCAGTGTGGCTTCGCTGGTGTCTTGTAAGGTGGGAGCTCAAGCGAAAGCTTTTATCGCAGTTGAGACAGTTGTAGGGTTTCTCCCCAGTGTGGATTCTCCGATGGGCGACGAGGTCTGAACTCATGATGAAGCTCTTCCCGCATTCAGGGCACTTGTAGGGTTTCTCCCCAGTATGGACTCGCTGGTGAACGATGAGGGTCGATCTCCGGTTGAAGCCCTTCCCGCACACTGAGCACTTGAACGGCTTCTCTCCAGTATGGATCCGCTGATGAATGGCCAGGTACCGTCTCAAGCTGAAGTTCTTCCCGCACGCGAGACACCGAAAAGGGTTGTCCACGCTATGGGTGGCTTCGTGGGCCAGCAGATACGTGCTCAATCGAAAGCTCTTCCCGCAAACAAGGCAGACGTAGGGTTTCTCCCCGGTGTGGATCTTCCGGTGGGTGCTGAGGGTGGAGGTGAGACGGAAACGCTTCCCACAGTCCGAGCACTTGTAGGGTTTCTCGCCCGTATGGATCCGTTGATGTTTGTTGAGAGCTGACCCAACTCGGAAACCCTTCCCGCACTCGTGGCAGGTGAAGGGCTTTTCACCGGTGTGGATGCGCTGGTGGGGGATGAGGAAGGACCTCCGACTGAAGATCTTCCCACAGTCAAGACAGCTATAGAGGGCCTTGTGCATGGCCCCTTCTGCCTTCCCAGCACCGTTCTTCCCACTCTTGCCGGAGCTGTAGGTCCTCTTTGTTGCACGGCTCCCATTGCAGGCTTGCAGCCGTCCACCCTTTCTTCGTGACGGGCGTCCACGGGAGTCATTGCTTGGTCCTTCCGAGGCTTGTTGTGGTTGACTCTCACGCTCGCACTGTGCCGTTGGGTTTGGCTCTTGAAGGACGTCCACCTCACATAGGTCCCAACACAGCTCAGACCCTTCTGGTTCCTCCAGACAGTTTTCCTTCCCATCCGCCATCCTGTCAGCTGTAGGAATGAAGATCCCAAGCCCAAGTCAGGGCAATGCCTTCACCGAAGTTCCTATGAAAGTTTAAGGCTCTGATGCCCAAATCCAGCCTGCTCAGCAGCTCCAGTGGCACCACAGGGTGGTCACAGGTGGTGACCCTAGGCTACAACCCCACACCGATGCAGCTCACGGGCCATGAGGACACAGGCAAAGGCCATGGGAAAGAGATCAATTGAGGGTTACCAGACAGAGAAGGTCCATGTGAACCTCTGGGCTGAGGAAGCACCATCGTGCCCCTCTCCCCCCTCGCTGCCCACCTGCCCAAGGGGCTTCTCCTCTGTGCCACCCTTTCCCACCACACCCAGAGCCCATCCCTTACTCCACTGGGCAGACCTGGAGAAGAAAGAGGATGCGACGATGGGGTCCCGTGGTCACTCGCACCCCACGGATGGGATGGGACCAACCACCACCACGTGCGTCCCAAAGCATCATCAACCACCAGCATCCATCTGGACCTGGTGGTAGGACCCATGCG